CGAACCACCGCCGAAATCTTCTCTTTCTATTGCAAGTCAGCCAGGTGCCATCTATTCTGCCGGTGCTCTCCAGCTGGTTACTAAGCGGGCAGTGTGGTCAGAAAATCACTCACAAAATTTGGCGTCATCTGTGGAAAAGAAAGAAGAATAGATGACCACTGAAAGAAAAAAGAATAGATGGCCAATGAAATAAAAAAGAATAGATGGCCAATGACGGACAAAAGGATCAGATTGGAGACAACGCTCCTGTTGGGAGTGGGAGACCTATCAACCTCGACGTTGAAAGGGACGACCGTAACACAGAAACTCGTGACCAGAGTCACGGAGTGAAAGACGCCGGCCAGAAAGGTGACGCACCAAAGACAACAGATTGAAGCGGATACTACAACGAAGATGACCTCCAGGTATGGAAGGATAGATACCTGCGGATGAACGAAGACCCTTCCAGAAGGGATGCAAAGACAGGGTGCATGAGCGCTCCCAAGGAGATAACATTCAAGTATAGAAGAACTCATCCTAAGTGAGCAGATCCCGGATTCCAAATCCTGGATCCCGGATCCTAGAAGACATGATCTCGTCCGAGAAGAGAAGAGCTCAGTGAGCAGATCTCAAATCCCAGAAGATAAAAAAAGAAAACACACAAGGTTGGACTGTAGTTAGCCAGGTTGAAGACCTTTTATAAGGTTCGCAAAGGAGTATGTGTTTACCACTTGTTGAAATTTGTAGCAATTTACAAGTTGGTTAAACCGATATGATGTTTACCACTTGTTGAAATTTGTAGCAATTTACAAGTTGGTTAAACCGATATGATGTTTACCACTTGTTGAAATTTGTAGCAATTTACAAGTTGGTTAAACCGATATGATGTTTACCACTTGTTGAAATTTGTAGCAATTTACAAGTTGGTTAAACCGATATGATGTTTACCACTTGTTGAAATTTGTAGCAATTTACAAGTTGGTTAAACCGATATGATGTTTACCACTTGTTGAAATTTGTAGCAATTTACAAGTTGGTTAAACCGATATGATGTTTACCACTTGTTGAAATTTGTAGCAATTTACAAGTTGGTTAAACCGATATGATGTTTACCACTTGTTGAAATTTGTAGCAATTTACAAGTTGGTTAAACCGATATGATGTTTACCACTTGTTGAAATTTGTAGCAATTTACAAGTTGGTTAAACCGATATGATGTTTACCACTTGTTGAAATTTGTAGCAATTTACAAGTTGGTTAAACCGATATGATGTTTACCACTTGTTGAAATTTGTAGCAATTTACAAGTTGGTTAAACCGATATGATGTTTACCACTTGTTGAAATTTGTAGCAATTTACAAGTTGGTTAAACCGATATGATGTTTACCACTTGTTGAAATTTGTAGCAATTTACAAGTTGGTTAAACCGATATGATGTTTACCACTTGTTGAAATTTGTAGCAATTTACAAGTTGAAGTTAAGCCGAGATTATTGTTTATCAACACTTGTTGAAATTCTGTGTGAATTTACAAGTTGAAGTTAAACCGAGATGATGTTTAACACTTGTTGAAATTCTGTGTGAATTTACAAGTTGAAGTTAAACCGAGATGATATTTAACACTTGTTGAAATTCTGTGTGAATTTACAAGTTGAAGTTAAACCGAGGTCGTATTTACAAGTTGAAGTTACAAGTTGAAGTTAAACCGATGTGATATTTAACACTTGTTGAAATTCTATGTGAATTTTCAAGTTGAAGTTAAACCGAGATGATATTTAACACTTGTTAAAATTCTGTGTGAATTTACAAGTTGAAGTTAAACCGAGGTCGTATCGAAAGAAAGATGGTTTAACACTTATTGAAATTTTGAGAAAAATTTACGAGCTGAAGTTAAGCCGAGGTTATAATAAAGGATGATGGTTAAAACACTTGTTGAAATTTTTGAGAAAAGTTTACAAGTTAAAGTCAAGCTTAAGCAATATCTACATACTTGCCGAGACTACCAAGTTGTCAAAACTTGAAATATGAAAAACTGAAGTCTTGATAGAAGACATTGAGAAAGTGACAAGTCCTAAGCAAACACTTGTAAAAATATTTGTTACAATATTTTTGAGTGTTAGGACAAAGCCGAGATGAGCAAGATTAGAATTTGTGGCAGAGGTATTTTACCTGAAGAGATTGCACAGTCAAGGTATACTTTGAAAACATGCAAATTATTCTAAGTGTAGAATCATACAAGTGCAGAAAAAAAAAGACATTTATTCAAAGAAGAAATTAGAGAAATGCATTTAAAGAAGAAAGAAGGCACTTCGGCTTAAATATTGAAAAATAAATTATTCAGACTACAAAAATGGCACGTTGGCCGGATTAAAAGCATACAAAGAAGGACAAAGTACAAGGTACAAGGTACAAGGAGTAAAAGAATGAAACAAAACTACTCGGCATCAATGGCAGGATATAGAAGACAGTTGGGAAGACTTCTCAGCAGCCTTCTCGGCCTCGAGCTCAACATCGATCTCCCGAAGAGTTTGATCAAAGCTCTTCTCAGCGATTGGCACTCTCAGAGTTTGAAGGCAAGGGATTGAAAGCAAGAATCTGGAAGAAGACACAGAAAAGCAGAAATAAGAATATATTCGTAATCAAGAATGGTGATGAAGCTATCAGGAAATCAAGACAAAAAGATTGCACATGTGTGTCAAGCCAAGAACAGTGGCAGAAATCAACAAATGTGTGAACAGTGTGTATTCAGAAGATAATTTGGAAACAACGGGTTAAAACAGTAATGGTGATTAACAATTGAAGCAGAGCTTCTTTGGAAAGCAACAAGAAATAAAACCAGGGGAGGAACAGTGGCTTACCAGAAAAGAGGAAGCCGGAATGAGAATTGCCGAAGTCTGACGACGGGATGCGAAAATGACAGAATGACGTAAGCTTCACCAGAGGAGAGGAACAAAACAGTTGCAGAGTTGAAAGCTTGGAACAATGACGGATTTAAGCAAAATAGGCTAGAAAGAGAAAAAGCCAGAGGATTGAATGAAAAAGAAAAAATCAGAGTCAAGAGACGACAAAGTTTCAAGAATAAAGCCAAGTGCACAGGCACTAAGTAAGTATGTGAAGAACAAAAAGTAATGACCCAGACACGATGCTAGCAACAGAAAGCGAATATAGCAAGACAGTGTCAGGCGTTCCAACAATTCAAAACTGAAACAGACGAAAATAGAAAACAACAGAGGGCAAGTAACGGATCAGAAGAGTTATGAAAGATTGAGCTTAATAACCACCAAGGAAATGAACGCCAATATGAAGATCGCCGGAGTCAAATAGATGACTGGAAGTCGGGAACCCACCGAAGAATGTGAGTGGAGCAGTTGCAAAGCTCTTGGAGTTTACAAATTAATGGAACAAGAACTTCGGCTAGGAGGTGTGATCTCGAGCAGCTAGGAAAGCATGAAGATTGATACTTGACAGAAGTGGACAATAAAGTCTAGGGAACTTTGAGGTCGGCGAGTTTGATCTCGGACAGAGGGGCACAGATGAACGAACAGTTTAGGTTCCATCACCTCAGAATGTCGAGGTAATAGAACCTAAGGGCAGTTGTGGGGATATATTTTCTGAGTACCAACACGTGGCCAAGGTGACGCCGACGTGTTAACCGAGGTGCCACGTGTCCTGGTTGTTATACCGAGGCCATCTCGGATAGGTCGAGGTTACCTCCGAAGATATCGGAATCCGAGATAAGCGGATGAGGGGCAAGAGTCCTAGAATGAGAGAAGACTTCAGTTTGTATTAAGATAAGACTCTTATAGAGCTTATCCTAATCTTACTGGGAGTCCAAGATTAGTAGTAATCCTGAGTCCATAAAAGTTAGGCTTCTATTGGGACTAGGTTTATGTTGGCTATAAAAGAGAGGCACCCACATGGGTCTAAGGTATGCTTTTGATACTCAAGCTTGTGAGTTTAGCACTTGATTTATCTTTGAGAGATATACTGACTTGATCGTTGGAGTGCCCACGAGTGGACGAACCATCGCCGGAATCTTCTCTTTCTGTTGCAGGTCAGCCAGGTGCCATCTATTCTGCCGGTGCTCTCCAGCTGGTTACTAAGCGGGCAGTGTGGTCAGAAAATCACTCACACAGATAGGAGTAGTACCGATAGAAGATAAGTTGAGAGAGAATAGATTGAGATAGTTTGGTCATATTCAACGAAGACCAACAGAGGCAGTAGTGAAGATATGCAAAGCAATGACGGTAGATAAAAGTGTTAGGAGATTAGGTAGGCCTAAATTAACATTGGCTAGCATTGTAAATAGAGATATGAATATACTTAATTTGACTAACGAAATAGCCTTTGATAGAGTCGCGTCGCGAAGAAGGATTCATGTAACCGATTTCTTTTGATGGGACTTAAGGTTTGATTTAGTTCTTCCATTATTAAAAATGGAAAAAGAACCTTGAACTAATTTTTCTTAAATTAAAATCTATTTAATCTTTAAACTATCGATTAAATCTATTAAGCCCCTAAAATATGTAATTCAATCTATTTAGTCTCTGAAATAATTATAAAAATAAAATATAAATTCATAAATATTATAAATTTATAAATAAAAAAAAAACCCCTATCATTGCAAGATATTTTATCTGAACTATTCACATCATCATTAAAATTAGAATGCGACTTACAAATAACGTGAAGAAATATGAAAAATAAGAATAGCGGTACGTTAAAAAGCCTTTCTGTGATAAAAATATTACTACAAAATTAAGTAATCTCTCATCCATAAGATTATTACTGTTGATTTTTTCTCACAAAATATTAAAGATTTTAAAAATTTTATAAAAAAATTTAATAATGTTAGGTAGTTCAAAATTTTGTGGCTCAAATGACTCAAATCACTCAAAACGCCGTCGTTTTGATATATTTGAACCATTTGAATCACAAAATTTTAAATTATCAAACATTTTTTAAAAAATTTTTACCAAATATCTCTAATGTGTATAACTCACCTTGTATGATCCCACACCATATAATACATTTAATAAAATTTTTACACCACTAACATTACACTTTTTCTCCGCAACAACTAGCATTTAAGCTTTCAGCTACTGTGGTTGGTTGGTTCAGTGTTGCAGAGAAAACACTCAGCAGAGATGGATGCCTTCTCATCCTCATTCCTCTCTACATTTTCATTCTCGAATGTCTCTCTAACACCACCACCACCACCACCACAACCACAACCATCAAATCCTCCTCTCCTCCACATCTCCGCTGTCCGAATAGAAGAAAAACCACCAACTTCAACTTCCTCCTCCTCCTCCACCACCACCACCACCACCCCCCCTACAAGAACACCTCAAATTTCAAAACCAATCCCACAAAAATCCACATCAAAAAAACCAACCACCACACCACCACCACCAACTGCGAGACGAGCAGAGCCGAGCTTTTCCACCACCATCTTCAACACATTCGACGAAATCATCAACAACTTCATTGACCCACCCCTCCGCCAGTCCGTCGACCCACGCTACGTCCTCTCCGACAACTTCGCCCCCGTCGACGAACTCCCTCCGACCAACTGCACGGTGGTGGAAGGCTCCCTCCCGCAGTGCCTCCACGGCGGAGCGTACATCCGCAACGGCCCCAATCCCCAATTCCTCCCCCGCGGCCCCTACCACCTCTTCGACGGCGACGGCATGCTCCACGCCATCAAAATCTCCGGCCCCACCGCCGCCACCCTCTGCAGCCGCTACGTGAAGACCTACAAGTACACAATCGAGTGCAAAACCGGTTCTCCGGTCATCCCCAATGTCTTCTCCGGCTTCAATGGCCTCACCGCCTCAGCGGCGCGTGGGGCAGTCACCGCCGCTCGAGCTCTCGCCGGACAATTCAACCCCACCAATGGGATTGGGCTTGCGAACACGAGCTTGGCTCTCATCGGATCCAAACTCTACGCTCTCGGCGAGTCTGATCTTCCTTACGCCGTCGAGATCTCGCCGGACGGCGATATAATCACTCTGGGTCGCCGTGATTTCGCCGGAAAATTGTTCATGAGCATGACGGCGCATCCGAAACTTGACCCAGATACCGGCGAGGCATTCGCTTTCCGGTATGGTCCGGTACCGCCATTTCTAACCTTTTTCAGGTTCAACCCAGATGGCTCGAAACAACCTGACGTGCCGATTTTCTCATTGACTACTCCTTCGTTTCTTCATGATTTTGCGATCACGAAGAAGTACGCCATTTTTGTTGATATTCAGATCGGAATGAACCCCATGGAGATGATCCTCGGAGGTGTGTCTGTAAGAACAGGGGGAAATTACTAATTTCAAAAAAATTATTACAATTTTTTTTCCCATAAAAAATAGTATGCTTTTAATTATTAGTACTTACAAAATTTAGCACTTATTTATAATTTTTTTATTTTAAAAAACCTATATTGAAATTTTTCCTAAGAATTAAAAAGATTTGAAGAAGATAATCAAATTTATGGCAAATTTTATTTTAGTATTTATAGTTTGACTCTTTAAAAATAACCACATATTTTTTTTGATTTGTAAATTAAAATGTACCGTTAAAAATTTCATCTAAAAACATGTGTAAGATATAAAAAGCATTATAAATTTATTTTTAAATTTGAAAGAAAATCACATATGAAATAAAATATAAAAGATTAAAGTGCATTTTACCTCTTAATTAAGGCTCTGTTTGGTAAGGAGGTGTGGGATTATTTTAACCACAAAAGATAAAATAGACTATTTTAGTCATAACAAACAAAACATCATATCTAATCTATAATTATTACACTTTTCTCTCACAAAAAAAGTTAAAAAAACCAAAAATCCCTTCTCAAATCAAGCTTTTTAATCCAAACTAAAATAGTAAAAAAAAAATCAAAAAACCAATCCACTTCCTAAACAGAGGCTAAATGACAAAAAATATTTATAACTTACACACTTAAATTATTTATATACAAAAATATTTTAATTTTTTTTATTAAATCGTTAACCGATGACAAACTGTTCTTATATACAGAAAAATTTTAATTTTTTCTATTAAATCCTTAACAGACTGAACCGTTCCCAAATTTAATTTAGATAATTTTGAATTAATTTGTTAACAGGGTCGCCGGTGGGTACTGATTCGGCGAAAGTGCCGAGAATCGGCGTGATTCCGAGGTACGCGAAGGACGAGTCGGAGATGAGGTGGTTTGAAGTGCCGGGGTTCAATATAATACATGCGATAAATGCGTGGGATGAGGACGGTGGTGATACGGTGGTGATGGTGGCGCCGAATATATTGGCGGTGGAGCATACGTTGGAGAGGATGGATTTGATACATGCGTCGGTGGAGATGGTGAGGATTGATCTTAAGAGTGGGGTGGTGTCCAGGTTTCCGGTGGCGGCCAGGAATTTGGATTTTGCTGTGATTAATCACAACTACTTGGGAAAGAAGAACAGGTACCGTTTGTTGTTTGTGTAGTCACTAATTAATTATGAGAATGGATTGGCTCTCGCTAAAATTTTAATTAATTGGATTACAGTTAAAATGTTAGACTCAAATGAAAAAAAAATTGATAAGAATTTTTGAAAAAATTTAACCAAAAACTCTTACTCTTTAGGTAAACATTTTTAAAAAAATTTAATTGGGTGATGTTTTTATAAAATTTTACCAGTAAAAGTTTACTTATGCCTGAGCCAGTTCAATTTTCAAATGGAAACAAATCCAATCTAATAATTATAATTAGAGTGTTTGGGTGTGCAGCCCTTTAAGGGTTGTATACCATATGGAGGGGTATGTAAATTTGCACAAGTATTTATAAAATATGTAAATTATTTCACAAAATTATATAACTTAAATATAAATTTCTATAAATTAATTCATAATTTTTTAAAAAATTACAACTTGAAATAAATTTCACAAATATACACAAGTTACTTCACAAAAAAATCACGTAATTTAAATACAAATTTACTTAAATTTAGGTCAAGTTTGGCATACTTGAAAAAGATAAAAAGTTAAAAAGTCACTATTCTATTTAAGTCACATCATCTTATTTAAGTCACGTCACCTCTCTAACACATCACTTCAAACCCAACCTAAACTCAACCCATATTTCATAAAAAGTCAAAAGTACACTTATTTAGATCATCCTAAACAACCCCACTCATAAAAATTTTAAAAATCACAATTTAACGTAAATTCTCATAAATATATCCAATTCAATTCACAAAATTACATAATTTAACCCATAAAATGTGTCATAAATTCCTATAAAAATTCATACTCCCTTCCAAAAATTATTAATTATCTTTTGAATTTTTTTTAAAACATCAATTGTCATAATTAATTAATTTAAAAAATAAAAAAATAAAAAAATTATTTTATTTTAATTTTAAAATTTTGAAAATAGATTAATATTTTAAAATAATAAATAATAAATTAATATTTTAAAACAAAAAAATAAATAAATTATCTATCATATGTCTTACGTCGTATTCTAATATTATTATTTTTTTTTAATTTTATGTACTGAAAACAGAAAAAGGTCTAGGACAGACCGTCCAATCCACTCTTTTTCCAACTGTTTCAGTGATGGGACTGGACGATACCGAATTGAACGGTGTTTAACTGATCAAAAATAATTTAGAACTTTAAAGGAAGAACTTTAATAGAGCATTAATTTGTCTTTTTCTTTTCTTTTTTTTATCTTTTACTTCACTATTTTTTTTTTTTTATTGGTTGACAGCTCATTAGAGCTGTCCTTTTACAACTCTAATTAGAACTCCGGAGCATGACGTTTAACTGATTGCGAGTCTATTTTGTTTTGGAAGAGCATCTACCTGTTTGGTTTTAGTTTTTAAAATTTATTTATTTTTTTGTTTTATTATATTTTTTATTTTTATTAAATTTTTTTAATATTTTAAATAATTTTTTAATTTTTAAATTTATTTAAGATAAATATATTTTAAAAATATATTTTTTGTGAAAAAAAACTTTAAAATATTCATTAAATTCTAAAAACATAAAAAAAATATGAAAACTTAATATATATATATATATATATTATATTTTTGTGTATTTATTAATTTTTTAAAATATTTTTTTTATAAATATTTTATTTTTAGATACGTCTAAGTAAGATATATCTAAAAAAGTAAAAAAATTATTTAAAATTAAAAAAATATTCGCTAAAAACAAAAATACGAAAAATAAAAAATTTAATTTCTATAAAATTGAATTCAAAAAATTAAAACAAAATATATTGAATTTTTGTTCTTTAAATTTTTTTAACATGACGAGCAATCATACGGATATAAAATTTTTTAGTGCTAAAAATTTCTCCTAATCACTCATATGCTGTGTGAGACCAATACGGGGGGCCGGGGTGGTGAACTTAAATTTATTTGAATGTGTAGTAGAAAATTTGATAATAATTTAATATTTTTAATAATTTTTTATATTTGATAATAATTTAAAAATTTTAATAATTTTTTATTTCGGAATCATCACAACAATTAAAATTACTAATTAAAAAATGATATATAAAATATATGGTTAACTAACGATTAGAGAAAATATAGAAGGAAAGAGTTAACTTAGATATTCTAATAAATTGTTAAAAGATAGATCTAATTTTTTAGTCTGAATAACATTATTTTTAATTTTATAGAATCCACTTGGGTAAATTATTCATATAAAAATTAATTTGATCAAATATTGAAAATCATTTTATCAAATTATATTTGTTTGAAAATAAATTAATAGACAACATAATTTTGAATGTAACTTGTCTATTTTTTTAGACAAATAAAAATTCAATCAAATGATCATCAATATTTAATAAATTTTATTTTTATTTTTATATATGATCTTTTTAAAAAATCTTACAAAATATACCATTCAAATCATCCAGTTAGATTCGGCTCATAAAAACCACATTAGATTGTGTTGTTGCTACTCTCTACAGCGAAGCCGGATTTATTAATTCTTTTATCATATATTATATTATAACAGAATTCAATAAATTATAATTATAAGAAAAATATCAAATATAATACCTAATTAATATAAATTCTCAAAGTGAAAAAAAAAATAAAAAGAAAATCCTAACAACTGTATGGTGACTAAAACTCACAGACATGAAGAGAAATTTATATTAAAACATAATTTTATAACATGATAATCCTCATGGGTGATTTACGTAGCTGCTAAGGAATAAAATTAACTGTCTATAATCGATTCCTTCAATTAGAAAGAAGTCTAATTTTAAAATAAAATAGAAAAATTTAGACAAATTATACACTTGATCCTTATAATTATATATTGTGTTAATTTGATTCAATTGCATCAATGTTATCCTCTATTTAATTAACTTAAATATTTACTGAGAAATTGGACATAAATCAAGTGCAAAATGGTTCAAATCTTCAATTACTTTAAGAGAAATGAATCCAGTACAATTTCTAACTCTAGTTGTGTATTGGACTGAATTGATTCAATACAAAAAAAAAAAATTATTAATAAATCAATACCATTAAAATTACATGAACAAAATTAACACAGAGGACAAATGAAAATAACTATGGATATAATTTGTCTCAATCTTATCTATTCTATAAGTTTTAAATTAAATATTAAGATCATATTTAATAAAAAAATGACTTTGTAGTTCAAAAAGGAAGGGGCTCAAATTGCCCGAATGAGTATTTACTGGACGAGAGGTCAGACGATCATCCGCACAACCAAGTGAAGTATTTGTCTATTACAATTATCACCTTATTAACCGCAACTATCAGCCTTCTCGCCAAACAACCGGCGAGATGAATTTCGAAGACTAAACTCAAATTTAAACTACGAAGCAGTATAAATGCCTGCAGTATATATGGTTCACCCATAACCTTGACCAAAAAAAATGAGTAATGATCCTCTAGAGTGAAATTTTTCTAAAATTTCCTAGAGTGCTATATTGTGTGATTGAGATTTACTGGCAAGTCACATCAGAAAAATTGATGTGACTTGCCAGTAAATCTCAACCACACAATGTAGCACTCTAGGAAACTTTAGAGAAAAATCACTCTAGAGGATCCTTGTTGAAAAAAAATTACTTATTTTTTGGGTTTCCATGCAGGTACGTGTATGCAGCAATTGGGGATCCAATGCCGAAGATCTCCGGGGTGGTGAAACTCGACGTGTCAGTATCAGAAGGCGACCGCCGTGACTGCACGGTGGCTAGTCGGTTGTTCGGGCGGGGCTGTTTTGGGGGCGAGCCCTTCTTCGTAGCAAAGGACCCTAACAATCCCGAGGCGGACGAGGATGATGGGTACGTAGTAACTTATGTTCACGATGAATACATAGGCGAGTCGAGGTTTCTAGTGATGGACGCAAAGTCTCCGGACCTCGACATCGTGGCAGCCGTGAAATTGCCCCGGCGAGTACCTTACGGCTTTCACGGGTTGTTTGTGAGAGAAAGCGACCTCAACAAGCTCTAAATTGAAATTGATTTTGAACAATAATGCTACATACACAGAACCTAAATTCAGAAAAATACACAGAATTTGACATGTTTCAACTAGATTTATTATTAGTGTTTCTTCTGAATTTGGGTTCTGTCTAAAAAGTATTTCTGATTGATTTCATGTCACACACTGTTATACAATAGTCACACTTATAGGGGCAATGTTGTAGCCCATGTATAGTTTTTCCTTTTTTAATGAATAATTGTATTGTGAAAAAATTTAGTTGGTCAAACTTTATAATGCTTTATTTGATTTATGAAAATCCCACACAAGAGAAGTAATGTCATACAGAATTGCTTCAAATTTTCTACTCTTGTTTTAGTGAAAAAATCTCTCAATTTCTTTGGCGATAAGTGTTATGGCATACAAGTCGTGTGTGTACAATCACTGATATATATAATTAATAAGAAATTATTTTGAAAGTGAAAGAAAGAAATTTTAAACGAATACATAAAGAGTAAGACTTTAGTAATATTAACAATTGAAGTGGATAAAAAGTGAAGATTGAGAACAAGAGTCAATATTTTTATTATTTAAGATCGATTATCACAACGGCTATGTAGATTGGACCGAATGTGGTCCATAGAATTAAGGCGGAGTGCGTTTGGGGTACTGCGATAAACAAGTACCCACAAGACCAGTCATCTTGTATGGGGCGAAATGTTGGGCAACTAAGAAATAATATGTAGATAAGATAAGTGTTGCTGAGATAACGATGTTAAGGTATATATAAAAGATGGAGTTAGGAATGGATATATGAGTAAGACTAGTATTGATAGAAGATAAGTTGAGATAGAATAGATTGTGATGGTTTGGTCATATACAACGGAGACTAACAAAGGGAGTAGTGAAGAAATGCAATACAATGATAATAAATGCAAGTATTGAGGAAAAGAACAGATTTAAATTGACGCGAACTCGTATAGTAGAGATATGAATATCTTGAATTTGATTAACCAAATGATTGTTGATAGAGACGAATAGAGAAAAAAAATTATGTAATCGATTCTATTTAATAGGACTTAAGATTTGACTTAATTTAGTTTGAGTACATAAAGAATAAGACTTGTACACATAAATACAACCACTATAATGTTCTATCAATTTTGCAATTTTGCAATTTTAATTATTCTTTTGGAATTGATAATAATTTCTTGCATCCATTTTTGTGAGATTGTGTATGGATTAGATTTACAGCCGTGCTACAGCCTCGAAAGTTGAAGCGTGAATTTGCTTCGAATTGTATTTATTTATTTATTTATTTTAATAAGGGTGATTATGTGTACTCTAAACTTTAAATTCTAAATCTTAAAACTCCAAACTCTAAACCCTAATCTCTAAATCCTAAAACTTAAATCCTAAACCCTAAACCTCTTAAACCCTAAATCCTAAAATCCTAAACTCTAAACCCTAAATCTTAAAATCTTAAATCATAAACCCTAAACCTCTTGAATCCTAAATTTTAAAATTCTAAACCTTTTGAATCCTAAATCCTAAATCTTAAAACCCTAAACCCACCCCTACACAGAATCACCCTTAAAAAAAATAATAAATAAAAAAAAACAACCAAAAAAAAAAACCCAAAACCAAACTTAAAAAAAAAAAACCAATTCGAGGTGCACTCGAGGCCTCAAGCATTAATCCATATCCTGACAAATGTTTTTTAAAAAAAAAAAAATTGTATTACTTGGTTCACAATTTTAGCCCATCCCAGGGGCCAGTCTTGGTCATTATTGTGATGATTGACCTTCCATTCATTCAGGAACACATTAAAAAGTGATTATTTATATTTTTTTCTAATTAAATCTTATTTACCAAAATTATTGATGATGGTCACTCTCAACATGTAGTACACTTGTCATATTGAGCCTTTTTCACACGCACATAATTCAGAAATCAAAATATGTGGATATAAATGTCAAGTATAAAAAATCACATATGTGTAGAGGATCTGAGTAATTTATAAATAATTTAAATTTAACTCATCTTAAATTTGTTTGAATTTAGTTTATTTGTTTAAATAAATGAGCTGAGGCCATATTTAGGCTGGTTTAATAATTCAACAGTCAAGTAAACCTAAGCTCTGCTCATTTTTCTTGTGAAAGTGCATGTCAATTTGTGTTTGATATTTTTTAAAGTGCAAATTTCACTTATTTATATAATCAAGTCAACTCTTAAACTTTTTTTTTTTTACCAACAAAGAAGAAGAACTTTATTGATGAAACAAGAAAATATTACATCAATAACAGAAGAAAGAAAGATGGATGCAAAAAGTATCAAAACGAATCAAATCGATCCTAACTAGGTTGGCACCAATAAAATCGTCCAATCATCTGCCAGCACACCATCAGAAGTTGGTGAGGAACCAGCCACAGACGCCAAATCCAACAACACCTAATAAGAGCTAACCAAACCTAAAGCAAACCAAACAACCCAAGCTACCAAACAACAAGAAAAACAGGACAGCAAAAAGAGAATGAGCTACAGAAGCCAAACTGAAATGATCAACAGAGAAAAATCAGTAGCATCGGGCAACTGAAGCAAAACACTGCGCAACAAATCACCCACAAACCATAGCAGCGGCAGACACCACAGAGTAAATATATCTTAACATCTAATTGATGAGAAATTTGTATAAGAACAGCCAGTGAATGGCCAAGAAGAAGAAGAACAGGGACTAAGAAGAAGAAAAGGGGTTTGGGATATTAAAAATCCATAAGCATCAACAAAGAACCAGCATATATCAGCAGAACTCACCAGCCAAAGTAAACAAGCACACCCCAAAACAAGACACGACCATCCATACCCAGAGTGACAGAAAAGACATTCACAACCCAGAAATTATAGGCCTAAATGGCTAAAACTGACATCTAGAGGTTGTTTGGGGTGTCCTAAATGAGTATATTTTTTGTCTTTTTGGATTAATTTTTTTACTTTTTATGAAAAAATATGTATTAAAAAATTATATAAATAAGTGTATAGGAGAAGTTAGGGATGAAATAGGCCGTACAGTCACAAGCGTAAGGGGCAGCGCAGCAGAGGGTAGGGGTAGGAGATTGATTCTCTCCTTTTTGGACATAAATTGGACGGTGTTGTTCGGCCCATGGGGCCCGTCACAGGTCCCATTTTGCTAATCGGAACCGTTCATGTGTAGAACTCGTCGAGTACTATATGCTTGTAAAAAATCACGTTGATTGGATATCAATAACTATCTGATCATGTTGGTTTTTATTGTCGACTGTTAACTATAACATCATCTATTTTTTATACAAAACTGATTTGATCATATAGTTACCGATTTTCGATCAACGTGATTTTTCACAGGCATATAGTTCTGGACGAGTTCTACATATTGAACAGTTCAAATTATCAAAACGGGACCCGTGGGCCCAATATTTCTGTCCAACTTAGTGATTTTATATATGTAATTTTTTTCCCCCTCTCACGGTACTAAAGAGTCAATTCAGTCCTGAAAATTGTGTAAATTTTGTTTGATTAAAATATTATGTATATTAATTTTTTAATATTTTTAATTTGTGAATAGTGATAACTTTTTTACTTTTTTTGTAATTTTTTAACTTTTTGACTTATATGAAACACCCCAAACCAGGCCCTAATCTGCTGAATGTTATTAACAATCTCATGCACAGTGTAGAAGCAACCTGGAAAATGAGGTTTTACCCAAACAGCGATTCTAAACTTAATCAAATCACAAACTTCCTCCAAATGCACTTGCTTACCATTAAACACCGCCTAGTTCCTAAGCTTCCCTAATGACCACATTACAGCCAGTGAAATAATCTTCCAAATCGAATTTGCAAACTTAACCCACCTAAACCCTCCTCACCAGCCAAGAAGATCCTCCACATTTCGAGGCATAACCCAAAGCATCCCCCACCATCGCATGACACAAGACCAGACACACCAAGCAAAAGGACAACACAACAATAAATGAGATTAAACTTTTGACCTGAGCTTAACAAGACATGTTTATTTACAAGAAGCTCAAAGAGAGCTAGTTAATCGAGTTAACTCTAGTTGAGTTATAGTTTTGTAAATATTGAAAAACGAAATGCAAGATTGATTTTTTTTATATTGACTTGAGCTCAATTTGAACTCAAACTCACTTTATTTTCAACGAATTGAGTTCAAGTTTTCCAAAGTTCAACTACGATCACTTGCTATCACAAGGATATAGATTTTTTGTTTGAATTTTTTTCAATCTCTAATTTCAAACCACCTCTACCACATAAGAAAGGAAGAATCAAACATATTATCTCAATCATTGTTTGGTGGTGGGACTTGAAGATTCCTTCGACTTCTTTTTACTGTATCTTTCATCAAATTTTGGACTTTACATATCTAAGAGGGATCTATCAAATTTTTATATTAATTCATATAAAAATAAATATCTTTCATTTTTAGGTATTCACTCATAGAGATTATTACAAGAGGAAATGAGAATCTCAAAATATCAAAAAAATGACAATAATAACTCTCAAATTGAAAGAAAGAAAGTGCAAACAAATACACAAAAAATAAGATTTATATACAAAGATAAAGAAATTCAAACCCTTAACTAATGAGATACAAAAATTCTAACCAACGAATTAACTTATTAATTAGGTTTTGATATTAACAAAATGGTGCAACTACAACAATCTATCGCTTTTGTAATTTGATATTTTTAGATACTTTTTCAAACTTGTCGCTAATGTTAGGTGGCAACAATATCTTGCTTCCATTTTCATGGGATTATGGATGGATCTGATGTACCATCACAAATGCTTCAAGCACACATTAGAAAGTAATTGAAGACACTCATCCCATGGACCACATTATGACAATTATTTCCATATCATTTCAAGCACACATTAGAAAGTAATTGAAGTTTTCTTTCTTTTGTTTTTCTCTTTCTAAATAAAGTTTATGAACCAAAATTGCTTCTTTGTCACTCTCAACATTTACTGTTGTCATATCGAGTCATTTCACGTCCAGTTATATAATCAAGAAATCAAAATATGTGGAAATAATGCTTGCTATGAAAAAACAAAAAAAAACACTTGTGTTGCTCACATTACTTATCTTTTGTGACCAAACAACTCAATTTCTCACTCACATGTTTCTGAATCTCAAAATTTCTTGCAACTGTATTTGGATATCATTGTCACTACAAAAAAAAAAATTTTTTGCGACGGCAAAACGCCGTCGCAAATAATCTAAACGCCGTCTCAAAAGCTATTTGCGACGGTAAATTTTTTTTTGCGACGGCAAGTGGGGGTCGCAACAGGGGGGGTTGCAAAAGATCTT